GTGTGTGTGTGTGTGTGTGTGTGTGTGTGTGTGTGTGTGTGTGTGTGTGTGTGTGTGTGTGTGAGTGTGTGTGTGTGTGTGTGTGCATGTCCGTGTATACGTACTTATAATAGTTAACGAACAAACGTAACTGATGAAAAAAGTTCAATGGAATGTTACAGAAGCCGAGTTTCTCGAATCGGCGGAACAGTGACGTAAGCAGACAAGAAACCCGCTTTGGTTGGCCTTTCCTCGCACACCGCTGGTGGGGAAAATAGTTCTGCTGTTTGCTTTTCGCTCATTCTTTTTCGCTGTCCATTTCCGTCTCTTTCTCTTCTTTCTCTCTCTCTCTTTTCTTTCTTTATCTCTGTCTATCTTTCTCACTTTTCTTTTTCTCTGTATCTGTCTGCCTCTCTGTCTTTCTCTTTCTCTCTCAATCTATTTATACTTATTTTTTTCTTTCTTCCCCCCCTCTCTCTCTCTCTCTCTCTCTCTCTCTTCTCTCTCTCTTCTCTCTCTCTTCTCTCTCTCTCTCTCTCTCTCTCTCTCTCTCTCTCTCTCTCTCTCTCTCTCTCTCTCTCTCTCTCTCTTCTCCCTCTCTCCTCCCTCTCCTCCCTCCCCCCCCCCCTCTCTTCTCTCTCTCTCTCTCTCTCCTCTCTTCCCTCTCTCTCTCTCTTACTCGCTTCCCTGCACGTGTAGCATGATCAGCACAAAATCATTCGAGGAAAACTTTGCTCCGCCGCCGGATGATCCAACACCTTACGTCGCCCGCTGCTCGAGGCCAGTTCGTCTCTCCGTTCGGAACTAGGAAGAGAATTCACGGGGGAAACCTGCTCTTTTTTATCGGTTTCATGGAAGCCAATGAAACCGGTGAATTTATTTTCGAAATCTTGACCGGTTTACTATATCATGTATGTGTATGTTGCGAGTTCGTGTTGTTTGTGTGTGTGTGTGTGTGTGTGCGTGTGTGTGTTTGTGTTGTTTGTGTGTTTGAGTTTTGCGTGTGTGTTTGTGTTGTGTACGTATGCGTGTGTGTGTGTTTGTGTTTTTTTTATTGTGTATGTGTGTTTGTGTTGTGTGTATGCGTGCGTGTGGGTGTTTTGTGTTGTGTGTGTACGTATGTGTATGTGCGTATTGTGTGTGTTTGCGTGTGTGTGTCTATATAGACATATAGACAGATATGTCTATATAGACATATAGACAGATATGTCTATATAGACATATAGACAGATAGATAGAGAGAAATGAGCCGATAAAAAGATATGGATAGATAAATTTATCTATCTATCTTATAATTACATATACGAACACATCCGACTTACACAATAACCTGTTTCTATAAACAATATTTACAGATATAAATAGTCACAGAGATAAAAATAATCAAAAACATTTCCGTTTTTTTCAAGGTGACCAGAAACTAAAATAAATTTCCCCAAGTGATGCGCGCGCTTGTGGTCATGTGACTTTTGAGGTTGCTTGGTTGTGTTTTCGTAGGATTTTTGTGATTTCTTTTCGGGTTGTATCTTTTTTCTTCTTCTTCTTTTCTTTTCTTTTTGGAATTCCTTCTTTTATAACTTCTTTCTTTGTATGAACGTAGTTTGGTGAAAATTCATAAAGCCATGGTTTTGTTTTGTTTTGTGTGTTTGTGCCTGCACGTGGGTATGTGTGGAGAGGGGTGTGTGGGTGTGGGTGTGCGTGCTTGCGTGCGTGCGTATGTGTGTGTTTCTGTTTTTGTATACGATGACTAGTAATTATACAGAAATAGATAGACAGATGAGTAAATAGACTAGGAAATTGAACCATAGCCAGAAGAAACAAATAAAAAACGCAAAGCGAATAGGTCCATGATTAAATAAATGAATAAAAGAGAGTCATGGACAGAAAACAACAGATATAACTCTTGCCTTGCGTGTTTCCCCAGCGCTTCCGAGGAAACTCCCCAGGTTGCCGGGGAATGGGGGGGAGGGGGAGAAACTGGCGGAGGAAGGGGGAGGGAAGAGGATGGGGGGAGAAGGAGGTGTGGAGAGGAAGGGAGAGAAGAGGAGGAGGATAAGCAGGGAGAAAGGGAGGACGGGAGGAGGAAGGGGAAAGGGATGAGTAGGAGGAGTGGAAGGAGGAAGGAGAGAGGTGAGGAGAGGAGTAGGAGGTGGTGGATTAAGAGGAGGAGGAGGAGGTGTTGGTGAAGGAGGTGGTGGTGGTGGTGGAAGAGGGGAATGAGGGGAAGGAGGATGAGGAAGAGAGAGGAGAGGAGAGAAGAGATGGAAGAGGAAGATGAGGGAGAGAGGGAGAGAGGGAGGAGGAATGGGAAAAGAGGAGGGGAGACGGGTAACAGGAGGAGCAAATGGAGGGAAAGAAAGACAGGGAAGAGGAGGAGGAAAGGGAGGAGGGGCAGAAAAAGAGGAGTAAGAGGATATGGACAACGAGGAGAACGGGCGGGGGCGGAGGATAGGAGGGAGGAGGAGGAGGTGGGGGGGGGGGGCGAGAGGAGAAGGTCATCTTCAGTACATAAATGAGACGG